GGAGCCAATACATTGGGATTAGTGAGTTTTTCCCCCAATCTGGGTCCAAACAGGAGGGAAATTTACTTTATAAGATTGAAATGATACGCATTTTAATAAATATCCAACATTTGGATACAATCCGAGCAGGTATATGCACCAGCTTAACAGGTGTGCTTTTATCAGCATTAGCAACCAACTATTCCAGCTGTTTAAAGACTTGGAAAAGAGACGTGGAATTTCCTTGATTGTGGTTTTGTTTTAGAGCGTCTTCTCTGTCTGAACATCAGACTGTTGAGACAAACAGGAAAGCAGGCATTTAGCCTTAGTACGTTTGGCACTCAGAGACCTCATTTGGCATGTTGATAGTGGCTTCTTTTTTTTTTCTTTGCCAACACAAGACATCAGGCATCGTTTTGAGACGAGGCATTCCTGAGCCCAAAGAGCAGTGGGATAAGACGGAGGGGAAAAACAAATAGCTCTCGACACAAATGGACCTCTTGCAGCCAAAGGTCTAGAGCCCTATTCCACCGTATAAGCCTGTAACACTTGGGTTGGGTACCACTTTCCAAATGCTTAGTGCGGGGGCTGTGGAAACTACTCCCAGAATGTGTTCTCCCCAGATAACACTCTAATGAGTTCACCACGGTGGACTGCTACACGTACATATTTCAAACGTCACACCAACGAACTTCACCTCTTGCTTTCATTGCGTTTATTAGTAGAGGAGTGAAGTGCACCGGCTAGGCTGAAATTTCACTGAAACTCGCTTTGTTAACGTCCCTAAAGTCCAGAGGTTGAGGCGGATACTGTATCTGTACTGTTGTCCAGAAATACTTCAACGTTTGATACAATCAAATACACTAAAATCGGCCGTGGAGCCCACTTTACTACTACCATAATCCTTTTCACAGATGCCTGTTAGCAGTTGTGTGGAGGGAGGATTTGAAGGACACACGCCTGTCTATCTGGATATGTCCACTTCCTTCTCTTTACTTGCTGCCCTTTCAGCATTCTTCTTTCTCTTTCTGAATCCTCTCCCAATTCCTTTCCTCTTCCCTCCTGATTCCTCTCCCAATTCCTCTCTTCTCCTCTCCTCGAGACCTTCTTAAATCCTCTGGAGGCATTTTACAGTACATTATGTTGGCCCACAGTGACATGGCTCAACTTCTTGTCTTTACAATAATGTCAGATCTCCAGAGATCTGGGCATATTCATGTTTCCTTGTGTTATGCAGGCAAAGCAAATTGGTGATGAATCAAGCAGAGCAGTCCTTCTGTCTGCCCCAGGCTTTTGTATTTTTGTCATTATGAGTGGCAACGCTCCTCTTCCTTTTCTTCACTGTTGGGATAATAATGGCTGACAGTGTGGAAAGCGTCCTCCACCTCCCTCGCTGCCTACCATGAGCCTTCCTCATCCCTTCCAACCAAGCCAGTAATGGGCACGCATAATGAGTTCGAGAGAGCCGGTAATGCTTCCCACATTTGGTGCCCACGAACAGGACTAAGTGTTACTGCGTTAAACCGCAGCGTGCGGCATAGAGCCGAGAGTGTAATACTCACTTAATCCCCGGCTGCCATGCCTGGTTAATTCCATAGATGTCGTCTCCATTAGTCCAGAGGAGAGAGGGCCCCCACCGGGGGAGCCCGGATGGCACTGGAGCTGTCAGCACAGTCTCCTATAGTTAGGCCACAGGCCCTAGATGGCGGCCCTCACTGCACTGGGGCCTCGCAACAGGTGGTTTCACTATGAGCCTTTCCCTTTCAGCTTCACCGCACTTTTTCTCTCTCCCTCTCTGCAGAAAATGAAGTCTGATTGGAGGGAAAATGGCAGTCATTTTTTATTCTTCTCTGTGTTGTCATCTCACTGATCGCCTACGCGTGATGTCTGGAAGACCTGATGCTTGTATTGTTCTCAGGCTTCTCTTCTTTCAGACACCCATTGGCAAATGCATGACTTGAGTTTTTTTGAGTCATCTGTTATTTTTTATGGACACTTGTCTTAATGCACTGTACTTTTTTTCTTTTACAGTTGCAGCCATTTCTTTTGCAGGTGCGGGTTTGTAGCAATTGCAGCACAGGATGTTAGTGTCCGAGTGGGCAGTTTGTATTCACAGTTTGCAGAGGCCTCCGGACGCTTTCTTTACGCACATGCTGAATTTCCTACGTGGCTGTTAGATATTATCATACTGGAAAATGGGCTTGCAGGACTGCTGGCGACGTCCAAGCAATTGTGTGTGTATGTCTGTGCGTAGTCTCAGCTTGTGTTTACACTGCATTAAATGTGCTCATCTTATTTTCCTCCACTTTTTTCATGTTTCTGTTTTACTGAAAGGACTTTGAATCAAAGTGTGTGAGAAAAAGAGAGAGTGAGAGATGGTGTGTGTGTGTGTGTGCACACGTAAGTGTTCAGTTGCAGTTTTGGCAATTACCCAGTCACAGCCTGGTGCACACCATTAGGAGGTGCGTGTGTGTGTGGGACTTAAGCAAGGAAACTTTAACTCCATACCCCAAGACACAGAACACTCTTTTGCAGAAAAATACACCAGGACACCGCCACTCTCATTCCAGCGAAATTCAAAACAGAACTATTGTCAACAAATTTGATTTGACCTGTCAAACCATTGAAAGAGGTATTGGATCTCGGTGCCACACATATCATACATTCCTTCTCTGCTAGTAAGCCTTATGCTTGGATCATGCTGTGACAAACATGTTGTTGTTCCAACATACCCGAGGCTTTTCATGACAAACAGGCAGACTTTCTTCATTTAAACTGGACTTGAATCAGTCCTTAATTCTGGATCACATTAATTTCCATCCCCTCTGTCTAATTCAGTCTCCATCAGTACTGAAGATGAGATGGTTGTTGGGGGGGGTTTGAGGAAGTATGGGGTGGTGCTCACAGCTGCACGAGGCTTTAATTTGTTTACCCCTAGGCAGCTCTAGAGAGGTCAGGAGTATTCTCCCCATTGTTTGGATGGAGCTGTCTAGAAGTGTTTAAGTGATCTAGAGCGGCACTAGAGGGCCCCCCTCAGCTGAGGGATGGCGATTTATATTAACTGTAGAGCCTCGTAATGAATCCCTGTGCACCTGCCTACAATGTGGAAATCAGCAGCGATTGCCCTTGGCCTGAGCCAATGAGATGGCAGCTTGTCAAACTCTTAATATAGATAGAATTAATGACTTTCATAGTATTACTTAAAGCCTAATTAGCCAGTAGTGTGTTTACATTGTGATAAATGACTGACCAGAGTGGGGTTTTGGGTTTGAACTTTCAGAAAATTGACTGCTTGCTTTCAATAGGATATCATTAACATTATACTTTTAATGTTTATTGTAATGATGTCAACCCTTGTGGATATTGGTTACAGTTTGATGTCTTTACAGAAGAAATGCAGATGAGCGGTGTGTGTTTTCCACTGTGTGGCAGAGGCTAATACTCCCTGCGTGGGGGTAGGGGGGGTTGAGGGTGCTGAATGAGTAGATTAACCACAGGAGAAATGGCACAGACAACGTTAGCCACAACTTGCCCACAGTGGAACAAAGTCTGCCCTAAATGTTCAGTGTAACACTATATTCAGTACTCGGCGCGTGTGTACGCTCATACGTATACACAAGCTCATGCAAAAACATTATTATTCTGCTCCAATGACTTACAGTGTGTTTCATTTGTAACTCAGCATAGGTCCGCAGCTCCATCCCTTATTAAAGGACTGTTTGGAAAAGAACAAGCTGAGAAGAATGCAGACTCTTTCTCTTTGCTGCATGTCTGCACAGCGCCACAGTGGTTTGAAAATGTTGTGGAAAGTATTAAGCTATCAGGAGCTGTTTCAACTCCTGATTCTTCTCTCAGTCCATAATTTTCATGCTGCCTTAAATCTTACCCTGGCATCTTGCGTCATATCTTTGAGTTCATTAATTACTGATTAAAAACTGCAATAATGAAAGAGAAGGCAGAAAACAACCCATGACCGTAAGCCGAAATAGGATATTAGACATCCTGGGTTCTGGAGATTTACTTCTTTTTAGGTTCAATCAACATCTGTCATAAATATGAAACCGTAGTCCTCAAATTAGGGCTAAATGTCTCCTTTTGATATTGTCATAGATTATCAGACCGAGGCGTGCACACTCTTGGATCAGTATGTCAAGACGCCTTTGCGCCAGCAGTCACGGAGGACACCATAAACCAATCAGAGATGACAGCAGTTGTAAAGTGACCCGAACACACAGGGCAACCTTTCCCTTTGCGGCCAGCCAAAGAACACTAAATGACACACACATACCTCACAGCTATCTAAAATTGCAATGTGAACGAATTGCAAATCATAGCCTGACAGTTATGTGAACAACCGTTGACCAACTAGCAGTAAATTCACATACTGTAGCAGTCAATTACACGAAAAAAACATCCAGTTTCTTCCATTTCACACAATGACCTCTTAGCAGAAATCTGGCTTTAGAGACCACAAGACAAATATAAAAGAAACACAAGCATGAGTCACTCCTACTTTGATTAAAGCGGAAAAATCGTTAATGAGAAAACAGCCAGTAATGTTGTGTATAGCTTTTCACAAACTCAAAAGCCTTAAAACCTCACCACAGTCTCCAAGAGATATGTGCATGCACGGAAGAAGTGAAAGAAAGTCAACTACATGTCACCAGGGGAAAATGTGAGTAAATTGTTTGAGGGTGATATTCAGGGAAACTGTTTGGCCGAGTGTTACTCTGTTCTTCTTTCACCTACAGCAAAGATAGCTGTCATAAAACTGAGCTGCACAATACAATATGAGGTATTGGACATCGAGCCGTGGAGGTGTTTGCCAAGACACTGAAATGACAATAAATCGAATTGCACAGCTGCGGGCTCATGTGTGCATACAGTTGTGTCGGAATTCAGACACCGTTATAGACACGCATACTGACACAAACATTTTTATGATTTTTTTTTGTACCAGATTAATGTGTTTTGTTTCTGTCTCATTTACCTTCCACTGTCATTTCATCCCGGTCTTCCAGCTGGGTTCAGGAGAAGCTTCCGTCTGAGCAGGCGGGACAAGAAGACCAACAAGTCCATGTACGAGTGTAAGAAGAGCGAAATGTACGACATGGCGGACGTGCCCACGTACGAGGAGGTCACCCCGTACCGCAGGCAGAGTGGAGCTAAACACAGGCTGGTGGTCCTAGTGGGTGAGTAGAGATCTGGACTCCAAAAACTTTATCAAAAAAAAAGCTCTGAATGTCACGGCTTACCTCACACTTTGTTTTTGAGATTAGGGGGTGGGTTCTGTTGCTGTTAAACTTGGCACCATAGCTTTTAATAAAATCCATCACCTCCCTGCGTAGTGACACTTGCAGACGACTGTGTGACTCAGAGTTCTGCAGCTCCAGCAGCCCCAGGTGGCTTGGCCTTGCCCTCCCACGACCTGCAACCCAGAAATGAGCTTCCCAGTGAGGGGACTCGCTCGCATTCATCCTGGGCCTCCTTAATTTAGACTTTTAGCACCCAGTGGAATCGATGGAGCAGACCTCATATTAATCAGTCACATTCACTGCTTTCATTTACGGCACCTCGCTCTCGATGTCCTTTCAATTTTTCGAGCCGACGGAATTGTTAACACTCGCTTGGAGGAGCGGGTGTTACAAAGCCCTCCAAAGAGCTTTATAACGTGCCAAGGTCTTGAAATGAATTTAGCGGTTTCTCATTCTGTGTTTGTGGTTGGAAGACGAGCGTTGCCAGTGAATGGTGGAACAATATGCTAAGCCAGGTGCAACAGTAAAGACTTAAATCTTTCTCAGGACCAACTGTACCATCAGTGAGTTCTAGGCTTTTCCAGATTTTCCTTTTTAGGTTTGTTACTTGTAACAAAGAATGACAAGAATGTCCCAGACACAGATGGAACAAAAAATTCCCCAAATTTTGAGTGCAATTCCTTCCAATCAATTCATCAAGGGACGAGATACACTCAAGGAATGAGTACTCAAAAGTCTGTTCCACTCTTCATCTTTTCGTTTCAGACATTCCAACAGGAGTTTTTAAACATTCGTGAGGTTAATCTAGAATTGAACACCACTGGCAACAGAGTCTCAAGGTTGTTGTTTTTTTTCCTCACTTATGCTCTCTGCAGAGGTGTGCTTCTGAGCCTGATTGACCAGGCCTTGGTTCACTTAACTGCGCCACGCAGAGCATGGACTTCATCAGACGTGTTGCTAATTAGCAAGCCTATTTTGTGCCAGCATGTCACAGCCTTACACAGAGGATGCTGAACCTCTCCCACCTGTCATGCTAATGTAAATATTTTCAATTAACTTCCATAATTTGGAGGACAACCTATGGACAATTTCACACATAACGAAGCGGAGGGCCAAGGAAAGATCTGCTTTATGTTTCTCTCCCCTCCCTCTCTCCTTCTTCCTCCCCCCCGGACTCTCTTGATTTTTCTTATTAGAGATCTTTTCTCTGTAACTGCTCTTGTCTTTTTCTGTTCAGGGGTGCGACACTTTATTCCTCAATGTAAGGGCAATGTTTGTAACACTTGAGAAAATCTCTCTCCACTGTTAGTATCTGCTCTTCTTCTTTTCTATTAAGCTAGTTGTTTAAACTTCAGCCCCTGTTGTGAGTCCTAGCTGCATATTTTCTGCTTCAGACCTGTACTCTGCCCTTTTTCAATCCCAGCCATTGACCTTTCACACCACATATGCAGTGTACAATAATGATGGCATAATTACCACTGTTTAGTAGTTTTAGTCTGTTATTACAGAGGCAGACAAAAGCTAGCTTTTCCTTCGAGCCACCAATTTTCAATTTTGTTTGCTGAAACTACAACAGCCGGCAGAATTTATCAGCTATAGCTAGCTCCATAATGAAGCTAACATTAGTGAGTTGGTTGAAAACGCTGGACTCTGTGATGTACATGATATTATGCTAAATTAGGCTAAAGCTGCATGTACCAGGCTAAAAGTCAGCTTCCACACAGTTGGAAGATATAACACAGTGGATGTGCTACTAAATTCTAACATAATCTGTAACCCCACATAATAACATAGTTCGCTAATGATATGCTGCTCTTCACTGGAAGTGAAAGCTAGTTAGCTAGACATGCTAACTAACCGCAGTTTATGTTAGAGCAGATAAACACTCTGTTTAATCCATTCCACTTCTGCTCTTGTGTTTTTGGTTTTAAGAAGTAAAAAAAAAGACGACTTTCCATTTCTTATTATTGCTCTTACTGCGACCCATTGACCGCCTTTAACATGTGGAGAAATCTTTTCAGGAATGCCTAAAGGCGTTTCTTCATTAATGTGGACGAACAGGTCCACAGTACCCACTAATGAATGACCTGCTGCCCACCTCTTGCACTTAAATGGAGCACAGAGTCTGAGATCTGTTTCAAAGACAAATCAAGATGCTTATCTTTGTTTTTATACATTTTAAATCAGACAGCCAATAAAAATATATTTTTACATACTGCATGCATAGTTTGACTGAACCACTGATGGTTTTGAAAGAAATCTGATTATTTAACCTGACAAAATGGTGTGCTGATTTCCACATTTCCTTGTAACTTGACACACTGAACTTACAGTGATATTTTGATGAATTGAAGGTTTGTAGTTTGGGGTTTAGCCCTAACATATTTCAGATATACTGATGCCTAAGTAAATGCTTATGTGGTATCCAAATATATAACATTGGAGCGTTATTTGAAGACTTCCCTCCTGTTAAAAATGTAGTAGCAGTGCATTGTAAATGATCTGTGGTTACCACACTGCACCACTGTCATCCTTTAAATGTGGTAGCAGCAACGCCAGCGCTGTGTGTAGTGCTGTAATATACCCTGCCCTGGATGTGAGGCAGGCTGGGAGGTTTGAGGTCGGGTCGTGGCTCTGGGGCCCGGAGCTGGGCCTCGTTGGGCCCGGCCTCGGCCTCTCGGCGCAAACTGCATGCGATGTGCTCCGCGCTTGGCCTGGAAGTTATTAAGCTTGCGATATTAAAGGCAACTTCTCTAATGAGTGCGGTAATGAAGTCTGACACTTTTACTGGCACGGCATTGTGCGAGGCCAGAAGTACCGCAATAGGGCCGGCAAGAGAGACAAATGGGGGAGGAGAAAACACATAAACACAATGTAAATACTGCAGCTTAGTCCAGAAAATTTGTAAGAGTTATGACTTTTTTTATTGTGGCGTTCAGATTTATAATGTTGCTGTTGTATTGGAGCATTGTTTGAAACAAACAATGCACAAAGAGGTGGCGTGTTTAAGGTCAGACGATGGCACAGGACCACAGGGCACTGCTTCTGCTTGTAAAAGACCTGGTGGTGGGCCTGTTGGGCCCCTTTGGCAGGCGGTGGTACAGCTGGAATAAGCTTTAATCGCCATCTGAGGTATTCTGATGAAGGCCTGCTGCCATGCATCATTGATATCACAAGTGGCAAGCAAGGGAGCGATGTACAAGGTGAAAATGGTTTTACGAGCATGTAGAAGTGGGGCCGTTAGTCATACCAAGGGTAGCACAAACGGCTGTGTCGGCCCCCTGTGCCCGGGCCCTGATATCCACGCTCAGATTCAAGCAAACAAGCTTGTGGGGAGGTTTGTGGCCTGCCAGGAGGACTGTCTGCACCAGTGTGATAGGGCTCATAAAAGAGCCTCTATTACCACGCTCTGCCACCTTCAGCACCTACAACAACATTGGTCCGCAGCCTTGTTCAAACAGCGGCGCTGCATTCCTCCCGCGCTCCCGAAACAAATTCAAAATGAACTCCATTTCCTCATCTTAATAAATCACCCCAGCTTCTCTGACTTTTTTTTCCTCACTGAAAAACTCCCTCTCCCCAGCTAAGATTGATTGCTGTCTTAGCTTGGCCATGTGCTTGTTTATGTGAGACAGTAACCACAGAATGCCTCGCGCCGTCGGTCCAAAGAGGGTCGGGGTATTTTTCTCAATATTTTTTTTTTCTCTCTCTCTTTTTGAATTCACAGTGGAGTGTGTGAGTGCGCTGAGGAAACAGCTTTTACCACTTACAGCAGTCGCACAATAGGACCCAAACCATGTGTTGCTGGGTGCAGAAGTAAAGGGAAAGCATGGGGTGTGAATTTGTCTGTGTGTAAAGGCTGCCAGTGTTCAGAGATTATACTTAAAAGAGCCTTGTTGTCCACACCTATTTATCAGCTTGTGGATCACTCCAAAACCTTCCTGCTTCACACCAGATGAAATGTAGAGGAACGGCGCAGATAGCACGAGAGGAAACAGGAGCACTCTTTCTCTTAGAAATACAGAGCATTTTTTTCTCCCTCTCCCTCTTTCCACCTTCTCCGCATCGCTGAGTGAACTCATTGTCCGTTTGTTTTAGAGGAGCGGCCTGCTAAACACATTTGCCTGGAGAAACGAATTTCCAATAGGGTTTGATGCGATTGTAGTGCCTGCCCAGAACGTCAGGCATGCGAGGAATCTCGAGCCCAGATCAAGCACTGTCTCTAACTGTCCACACACGGCAGAACTGTGGTAAAACACTGAAACGCAGAGCCATTGCACTTGTAACTCCAAAACTGATTTCTTGTCCAGTTCGTCAGAGACACTGATGCCAGTCGGTTCAAATTAGGATGATTTTGCTCCCTGGTAACGAGCACCAAAATACTGGAGAATGGCTTTTGGCAACAGAGTAGAAAAAGAGACTGAGGGAAAACTGTAAAAGAAAAGAGAACATTTGGATATTGATTCAGTGACTTCCATCAAACCAAAACCAGTATAAACAAGGTTCTTAGATTGAAAAAACATCTATATCCCTGCATTTACAGGTACTAACTCCATTTGTGCTTGATATAAGGACCTAAACACTATATGTTTAATTTATTCATTAATTTATTTGTACAAACCAAAGCTTAATATCCAAATTAAAGGTGCAATACGTTTTTTTTTTTATAAAAAACTTTTTGTCAAAAACTTCAAATCAGGTTCTTCTGGCTCGTCCTAGTGCTCCTAA